CTGCTGAACGTTTCTTTCCCCGATTAGCAGAAGAACTCGTCTTATTTGGACTGGTGTGCCCGAAAAACCAGATTTGAGGAGAGGCTCCTGAGACTGCATTTATTCAGCTCCTAAATCCGCTCTCTGGGAAAGCAGAGTAGGGCAGAGGGCGGTGGTGTGGAGGGTGTTTGGGGGGGGTCCCGTGTTGTTTGGGGTCAGCGTGTTTGGAGGTTTCTGCCTTTGTTTGAATCCCATCAAGTGTGAAAAACGGGGGCAGGCCTGAGGCCCTCCGCATCGTCTCTCCGCCCCGCCGGATCATCCCACTAAATCCGAACGCCGTTATAGGAAACGTTAACCTTTCAACCTGACAGCTCGCACGAGCAGTTCAGCTGACACAAACACGTAATTTACACTTTTACAGTTTGGTGACGCCGCGAGAGACTCGAGGGTGGAAAAAGCATCATTTCTTGCCTCCATCAACACCTGAACAGCGATGTTTCTGCACCCTCGGAGAGCTCGGTGTCAGGCTGTGACGAGCGCACATCTCCAGGAACAGAGGTGGAAATTTGTCCTCGATGTCTGTCTTTGTATCGATGACGAAATCTGCTGTAAATAAACCAAAAGCAGCCCAACAGAGACGCCTCTGTTGTTTCTGATGCTCAGTTTTTAAACAAACCTCCATATTAGTGAAACTCTGATGAACTGTTAGAGATTTCAGCTTCCAGAATCTGAAACTGTAAAAGCATTCAGATTCTGTTGAATCAGAATCTAAAATTTTGGTTCCACAGACCTTTAAATGAGATTATTAACGATCCGAACAGCAAACTTCATTCCCATCATCACGCTGGGGACACCTGGGGTCACATCCCACACTGAGCCTTTCGGCTCTTTGATGATTCAGCCGGCGAAACTGTTTGAATGCTGGAAATCTCAAAACCTGCTCAAACAGCTGTGATGAAGTTTCTTACTTATGAAACAGAAACATTCACGTTTCCTCATGTGCTACATTTGTGACTGAAGCTCATGCTGGGGTTAGATTACCGCACATCACCTGAGCGCGTGCAGAGAGCACAAAGCGCACTTTGGCTCTGCAAATAAGCTTTGTTTGTTTTTTCACAAATAAGCGTGTTTGTTTGCAGCCACTGAAAAAGAGTTTTGGTTTTTGCTCCACATGAGTCAAAACGTTGAGTTAGTGACTGAAAACGGTGACAAAATAACTCAAAATTCAAAACAATGTCCCAGATAGTCAGCCTGAGTTGTTCTGTGCGACAATGTTTGACAAGCTATGTCCACACGTACACGGGTATTTTTGAAAACGCAGATTTTTCTATGCGTTTGCACCTTTCGTCCACACATAAACGGCGTTTTTGGTCACTGAAAACTGAGATTTTTAAAAACTCAGTTTTTGCATTTACGTGTGGACGAGAAAAACGCAGAAAACGCAGCGTCAAAGGTGTGCGCCTTTTTTGACGTCACACTGTGCGCCACGTTATCGTTTCGGTGAAATGAATTTCTACAAACTGTTACTGTTACTCTCTGCAGTGTTTAAATGCTTACATATACCGTCCCTCCACACCTTCAATGCCCCATCCTTGTTTACTATTTCCCACCGAGGCTTCTAGACTTCTGATTGGCCAACATTTCTACACGGTTAGGAATATATCGCCATCTGCTGCTTTGGCATGTTCCTAGCAGCGTTTTCCTTCATTTCTGCCGTTACGTGTGGACGGGATTATTTTTTAAAACGAAAACTCTCAGTTTTCAAAAATACCCGTGTACGTGGCCTCAGAGTTCAACATGCTGCCCACAGACACTTCAATATACAACTATAGAGTGGATCCTGATTGAAAGACCCTTCCTCGACCTCCTCAGCCACAGAAACCAGCGTCCACACTGGACTGTTGGTGGGTGGCTGGAATATTTTTGTCTTAACATCAGGTTGGGGTTAGGTTAACCTCCACCCTTAAGCTATAGCCTTTCTTTTTTTCTACCTTTTTGGAAAAACTGTCAGATCTAAAGGAAAAGATGGATTTCAATGAAAGGTACCCTCCATCCATTTCCTGTCACTTCAGGTTTAAGTCAGGCTGAGGCGAGTGGGCGGGTACACCTGGACAGACAAACAACCGCCGATTCAGAGTCACCAGTTAGCCCCATGAAGGATTTTGGACTGGGTGAAGAACCTGTAGAGACACCAGGCTGGATTTGGACCTGAGACCGTTGTTCCTGTGAGGCGATGGTGCTAACCACTGGACCACAAAACCTCTAACTCCAGCCCAACCCTGCTGACGTCGCTGGGTGAGGGCAACATATTGCTCAACTGTAGCTGCAACTATACTACAACAACCAGAGCGACTCCCACCTCAGGACAACGAGCACAGCGTGTGATCACGTGGGTTTAATCATTTATCAATAATCAATCAATGATCTGCTCGGTTTGTGGTAACACTAAAAAAGCCTTCGTGTTGTTGTCGAAGCTAATCAACTAAAAAAATATATTACCATCCATGTGCACGCCCCCTTGTGGACAGACTGAGTGAGGCGGTTAGGCTTCCTCGTGACCTCAACTGGCCTCACGACCTGCAGCAGATGGCTCAGGTTCACGTTTCAGACTCAGCGTTTGTGTCCAAACAACCTTTCACAAAGGACACCTCTGATTTTTAATCAGGGGAGCAGGTGGAGCTGTTATGACTGCTGCCTTATCGTGTTCAAGGACAGAGGCTGGAGTTTAACATTAAACCTGCAGTCCAAGTCAAATATTACCTCCTCTAAGCTAACCAGCTCCTCTACATGCTGCAGCTTCTGAAACTAAACAAATCGGCTCCTTCCCCTTTTTGTTCTGAGTCAAACACAAACAGAACAGGAAGGACGTGCCGGCACCAAAACCAGGCCGAGGTTTCTGAAATTCCTCTTTTTTTTCTCTGGGATTCACCTAAAACTTTGCTGCTCTGGATTCACAGGCTGCCGGGGAAATTCAGCTCGGTGACCTTCCTGCTCAGCTACGAAATGACAAACTCTAAACCTAAGAGTGCTTTTGGTGTTTCAGCACCAAAGTCCATGCAATAAACGTTTACTTTAATACATCACTGCAGCCAGTGGGGCTGTTGATCTGTGGGAGTGAGTCATTGTTAAACCAGTGAGCACTGGTCTGTTTGCCTTCTTCATAGACAGAAAAGCTGTTATATAAAATTCCAAGATTAGAGATTAAAGCCTGATCTTTGTCTGTTAATAAATATTAATAATAATGTTTCAGTGCAGCAGCTCCAGTGTGGTGGTTTACACATCTGCCAGCAAAAGGTTGCTGGTTTGATCCCATTAGGGAGCAGCTGGGAGCAGTACTTCAAATACAAATAGTTTTACTCAGGCCATGGTTTGCGGTATGGTAGCCTAGAGGTGCCAAACACAACACACCTGAAAACTGATTTTTTTCATGTTTTTGATATCAGACTGATATCAGATTTTTAAGACCGATACTGATATCTGCTGATTTTACTGATCTGATATACTGGCCGATATTCTTTTCTTTAAGACATTTATTATGTATTTTTATTTACTCGTTTGCACTTTGCCCAACTCAACACTCACAACATGGCTGAAGGGCGCTTCTCCTTTCTCCTCTTTACTCTTTACATTTTTATTTATCGGCCGCAGTAACTGCCGATACTGATCGATCAACAAATAGCCAAACGTTATATTTCAGTAAACAAAATCACTTCAATCGCCTTGAAGTCAAGAGTTTTAATTCTGGGCCCGCCCACTTCTGTATACACTTCTGTACTGTATACTACTATTCTGATTGTATATATTGTATATCTTATTCATCTGTTCCTCTGTCTCTCCTGCTGCTTTGAGCATGTACATGACAAAAGAATTTCCCTCGGGATAAATTAAGTTGTTCTTATTCTTATTCTATAGTTTCAGATCACAACACTGCTGTTAGTCACTTCCTGTGTTGGTCTCCTGTTCAAAAGTCATTTTTCAAAATGCTGATTTTTCCTTTTTGTGCTGTTCCTGCTTCCTGTCAGGCTTTTGTGAAATGTTATTGTTTTCTTAAATCTCATGTTCTCATTTTTTTGGTTTAATGTTTAATCGTTTTGGGGGTTTTTTCCCCAATGTTGTCACATTTTTTCCTGGAATGTCATGAGATGTTTGTTTCTGTCCCTGAATGTTGACGGGGTTTTCCTACACACAACTAAAAAATATTTTTGCTTGTAATTGTGTTTTTATTTTGTTTTTTACTTTTCTGTTCTTTTGCTTCACAATTTTACTTCTTTGTTGTATTTTTGGTTTTTTACAAAACAAAGTCCAGTTTGGTTTCACTGTTGCGTTTTTTTGATTTGATGTTTCTAAAAAGTTGTTGCGTTTTTCTTAGTGTCGTTGTGTTTTGCACCTTTGGGCCACCGTACTGCTCGGCAGGCCAAATGAATAATTTTTTACTTCACTAACTTCCTTACTGACCCTCTTGCACCATTTCCCAGTGAAGAAACGCCACAAAGGGGGATGATGGAAGCCTCCACCCCTTCTTTCCCCTCCTCCCTCCATCCCACCCACCGGCCTCGCCCCTCTTCCTGCTGGTTTAAGGATGCAGGGGCTCATCAGTATCTCTGGACCACCTCACACACACACCTCTGCATCACTTTGCACAAAAGCCTGAAATTGCTTCCAGCTGGGAGTGAAGCCGGTCCCGGCGGACTGAGGGCAAACAAAGCGCATTTTACGCGCACATTTCCCCGCTGAGTCTGCACTGCGGGGCAGCTCGGGACCCCCCGCCCCCTAAAAAAAAAAAAAAAAAAGACCTGCAGCTCTCTGACACAAACTCTCTGCAGACCCGAAACAACCGCACCCCCCTCCGTCCCTACTTTACACCAGCTGTACTGACAATGATGATGAAGGTGGTGGTGCCCCAGTCCTGCCCTGCGCATCCTCAGCGCGCAACAACCCGAACAACGAAACCCCGAGAGGAGCCGTGAGAGGAGCGGGAGCAGAACCAGGAGAGGACAGGAGAGCAGGGCCGCGGGACTCACCAGTCGGTGTCCGTGGTCTCGTCGATGACGTCCTGGTAGGCGGTGAGCAGGGCCAGCCGGTTCTTGCCGAGATTCACAGCCATGTTTCCGTCCCTGCAAGCATCCAGCCGCTGCTGATGGAGAGAGACTCGGAGTGAGACTACAGGAGGACGACAGCAGCAGGAGGAGGAGGAGGCGCTGACTGGTGGAAACAAAGAGAGGAGCGCGGTGTCCGCGGGGTCCTAGCGCCGGATCGCCAGCCGGTCAGCTGTCCGATGGGTCCTAGTGCCGACCTTTCAACTCCTGCAGCTGCACAGAAACAGTTAAAGTTTAAATTTATCCGAAAGGAGGAAGATTTGTGTGAATGTCACCGTGGTAAATCATTACTTTTACATTATTGCTGTTACTGTTTAACATGCGCTGTACTCAGATCGTCTTACAGCACTTACAAAAAACAAGGAGCTCGAGCAAAGAGGAAATATCAGGTAAAGGAGGTCAATAAGTACGAAACCAGGTGTGAAGGTCAAACTTGCTGTTTTTCTGAAGGTTTGCTCGTGAACAATGCTCTGCTTTCTGCAGTGTCACTCAGTCTTTTAATTTGGTGAACCAAAGACAATCTCCCACTGATGTGGATAATAAAGTTTTTTTTCTATTCTGTTCTAATCTACTCTGGTCTTTCCCTGTGACATCACACAGGTCCAGGAGAACAAAAAAACTATGTGAAGTGAAGCTGTTGGGCTTACAGGAGTTACTGATCTCATTATGTGAAGCATTTCCAGCTGGAACAGCACCAGGTGAGAGTGACCTGTGATGTAAGCTTTTCTGTGGGCGGGGCTTTAACTGGTAAATGGAGGGTTCCTGAGCACCCAGCATGCCTCACTCACAACGGGCACCTTTCTACATCTAAGTGCTTTTGGTCTAAGATCCACACTGATGAACACATCAGGATGTTTGGCACACAGACTGGAGCAGCTGGGAATTGACAACCTTCTCATTAGCTGATGACCTGCAGAGTGATGAGGAGTCTGTAATCTTCCTCAGAGTAACACATGAAACATTCTGTGCCTACTTTGTGTTTTCTGTAAGTTTTTCTGATCAGAGTTTGGCGAAATAATCAGGTGGAAGAAAACCTGCAGTTCCTCTGGTGGCCACCAGAGGCTCCTGTCGTAAACGTTCACATAAAAATGTTGAACTTTACAGCAGAAATAAGCACGTTTACAGAAACAGTTCGGGTCTTTGTGGATCATTTCCTCGTTTATAATTGGAGCACGGCAGGTGGTTGTTTTTAAAGCGCTTCTTTTTTAACTTGATTGAGGCTTCAGGTTTGGTGTGTGGCTCCTCTGGTTAGAGCTGGAGCTGCTAGTCTCGGCCTTGGCTGTCTGGAGTCACTGAACTCAACCTGCGGTCCAAGTTTGTGCTGCATCCTTGAAGTCTGTCCTCTAAGTTTGGGTGAATTAAAGTCTAAGAGTTTGTTAGCCTGTTATTTAGCTCCCATTATTAGAGGGTGCAGTGTCAGTGTGATGCATTAGCTTAAAAACCAGTCTTGCTAGGAGTAGCTGATCACTTCCACCCTCTTGTCCAAATATGGTCACTTCCAGCTCCAAACAAACCAAGATGGCTGCACTTAGACTTCAAACTGTGAGTGCAGTAACCAAAGGTGGCCTCCTCCTCCTCTTAGCATTCAGGGCTTCTTCTTTGACAATCTGTGGATTAAAAACCTTTTTAGGACTGTAATGGGGGCATCAACCACTTCAGAAGGAGCCTCCATCAGCCGGGTGGTGCATTAGTGAAGTCGTCTGGAGGCACGTGGGTCCCATGTTTTCTTAATAACAAGTCTCTCATGAAAACCAATAAGTGGCAGAGCTGCCTGGTAAGTTTGCCTGTTGCTATGGATTCCAGCATGGCGGTCCTGTTTTAAAAAGCAGATCAGATGATGAGCGCTGAGGAGCAGCTGAAGCTGTTTTCAACAGCTGGAACAGCTGACCTCTGTCAGCCTCTGTGGGCTGATTTTTTTGTGAGGAATAGTCAGCAGGACCTGATGGCACCGCCGCCTCCTCAGACCAATCCCTGACTCAGACCGTCTCCAGTAGTGATGGGTCGGTCGCGAACGAAATGGCTCTTAGAGCCGACTCTTTCAAGTGAACAATGCAAGATTTTTTTTTTCTTTCTCTCACTTTTTTTGCTTCACGCCGCACTCGTTGTGTTGGCGCTGAGCAGAGATGGGAGTTTGCGCCCCTCCGCCCAGCGCTGCGCGGGGGGGGGGGGTTACAGTCGCATTTTATTGTGTTGTGGTTTGCAGTGTTTTGTGTTGATCTGAAAATTGAAATAATTAAAAGCTGAATTGTAAATAGTTGATTTTTGTATATTATAATTTATTTATTTATTTTACATTTTCTGTGAATAAAATAATATTTATATATTAAATATATAAATAAATAAATAACATTTTTTTTTACATTAGTAGTTCCTTTTGTGCATAATTTTATATTGTTGCTGATAATAAATTCATTAAAGCAACAAAACGACCTGACGAGCCTCAGGACCGCTCGCCAGATCGCACTCCCAGTGTTTTGTGGATGGTTTGGAGGCAGTTTGTACATGAAGCAGGAAACAAGCTGAATACTGAAGCCGGGTGAAGTTAAGAGTTAAAACCAGTTTATTCTGTTTCTTGTGTTTTCAACATTAGTATTAACATGTATGAATTGTGTGTCATTCGTTGTTTGCTGACGTGTCAGACTCATCGCTGATACGCAGACGTTTTTAAACGTGTTGTCGGTCAGATCAGCAGGACGAGAAACGGTGGGAGGTCTGGGCTTCGAGTGGATTCATCTGTGGACCAAGTGAAGCACGACTTCAGACTTTTGTGGTGATTTAATTTTTGAGAGAACAGAAACAGTGAGATCAATAATTTGTTGGACAAAGACTTTTTTTGTAGTTTTGCTTCTTAACAACATCACAGTGGATTTCAATCAATCAACACATGATAGAAGTTATGAGTGAACTTGTAAAAAGCATCAGTTCTTATGTACAGTGGCTAATTTTCAGGTTACCGGCTGAAATGTGATTGGTCGATGTTCCAACGACTATAAATGGAAAAAAAAAAACTGAAATGAAAAAGGACCAAAATGTTCACGTTAAAGTGCAGAAATGTACCTGAGTATGACATGCTGCCAACAAACATGTTACAGGGAGACTACTGCACTGACAGCAGCTCTTCATGTTGACCTTCAAACAGATCGATGGACAGAAGCGTCCACGGTCAGCTGATCCACTTCAGACTCAGCTGGTGTGTTTCTGAGGATGTCGACGAGCTCCGTGTTGAGTTTCAGGTCGTTTGGTTGAGCGGTTCTCGTATTTTGGGCCAAAGATGTTTCCTGTTGGGGCGACTGCTCCACTCTGTGTGCAGGGGGAGGAGCTAATACACACACACACACACAGATGTTTCACTATCTTTGTGAGGACATTCAGTGGCATTAATGAATTCCTGAGTCTCTTATGTTCACGTTTAATCACCACATGTACACACAAAGGTTGTTTTTTTTCTTATTACTAAGACGTCAGGCTCTCGTCTGCACAAAGAGTGGCTGCATCCAGAGAAAACCGTGCTGCAGGTCCCTGAAAGTAGCTGCCACCGCTCAGTTGGTAACAGAAATCTGAACCCAAGCATTATTTTTCTTACTGTTGTAGCTGTCTGGAGATTTCCTCTGGTTCAGCCATGAATTCTCAGACCGTTGAGTCCTTTGCGGCTTCTACAGGAGGATGTGGCGGCCGCAGGGTCCATAAAAATGCTGTTTCAGTGCCCGTGTGTCAGCTAACCTGGCTGATAACCCGAACCTCTGACTTCAGGAAGCTAACATTTCAGCAGGCGTTACGCTAAAGCTGAAGTTTCGAAACATGGAGGCCAAAAACCAATGTATAAAAGATGATTCAACTTTTAACCCATTAGTTCATTTCTGTCTGATTTTCAGATTAAGAGTTTCAGGGTTAAAGGAAGAATTTGGTGAATTTTGGGTAAGTTTGGCACTCTGAGGGTGAACATGGGCACACTGGGGTTACATACTGCTACTGCAAGGCTCTTTTAACCTGAAACCAGTTTTATTTTGTTTTAGCTACAATTTACAGGTGATCCCTGAATGCATCCTGAAAGCAGACGTGTGAATGTGATGGCATAGCTCTGACTGAGAGGAGCTGCTGTGTTACGATGCTGAAGTTCAGACAAATGAAATCCACAGAAAAATATGTGAGATATGTGAGATATGTGTGGCAGCAGCACACAAGTCCAACATTAAACTCTTCACATGGAACAAAAAACAGAGCCTGAGTTTTTATTGTCAATCACACGAGGTGAAACAAACAGAAGACGTTCTTACAGTGTGAGTCAAGTACAAACAGACACTGACAGTGTGGTGGGGAGTGCAAAGACACATCAGGTTTGTATGAAAGCTATAAAATCTGGTTGAAGACGGAGATTAACGACGCCAAACTCGGACAAAACGAATCTCTGATGACCGAATGGCCCAAGAATGTCTCTCGAAGCCGTCTTTGAGGGTTTTTGGGGACCCTGTAAGCAATGAGACTTTAAAATGAGGTTCTTTTCTCCCCGTTTCCTGGAAAAGTTGACATTTAGGAGGTTTTTCCCGGCTGGCGGCGGTGGCCGTTGCTGTGGAAACCAGGCTGCCTCAGAGAGCTGAACCCCACGCAGGCCGCCTCGGTGTTTGTCTCCCAAGCGGGCCCGCTGGCTGGCGCCGAGCCCACATACCTTCCCTCGGCTCTCAGAGGCCAGAGGATAATGGAGGAGGGGCGGGGGCGCTGGTGGCGCTTTAATTGGCACAGACAGCGATTATGTTCAAGGTGAAGCTGCTGAAACTCCCTCGGCCCACCATTCAGCTCTCTGAACCCCGCTGCACTCGTTCCTCTTGTGTTTATTTGCATGCAAGGCGACCCTTTAGCTCCACACTAAATAACTGCTCAGACTCTTTACCACGACTGCAAAAGTCTGCACCACCTTTCAAAAACCTCCGCACTACCAGGACACCGTGCACACGTGTTTACTCCTCACAGTACTGATGCATCATGGGATCATAAATTACTGCCAGCGTTCTCTCCCCGGGCTGTCAGACGACTGAAACACTGTGTGCTCGGCCGGTTTGTGGGAGTGGGTACAGCGAGTCTCTGATAAAAAAAAAAATATTTTCAGCTGTGCACCATAATTCAAGATTAGGCACAAAAAACCTGCCCAGATGAATTTAATGAAAGCTGGTGTAGAGGCGGAAAAACAGGAAAAATTGATGCAGAATCGGACGAGTTTAAAAAGGAAAAAGAAAAAGAGATTTTGCACAGCATCATTTCTCTGAGTGCAAATTTTAAATCAGCCTTAAAATAATCTTTTTCATTTTTATTTTAATTTTCATTTCTTCTCGTGGCCACTTTGGTAGAAAAATCCTTTAATTGTCCCACGAGGGGAAATGTGGGTGTAACAGCAGTAAGAAAGACACATATACAAACAAACAGAAACACACAGTTTTTACATATCTATATCGAGGACTCTTGGGGCTGCCTTCAGCAGTGAGTCCGCCCTCATACACTCCTGTGTTCAGCTGTCCAGCAGAATTAAGCGTGTTTGGTCTCAGTGGATAGTTTCCTGCTCACGAATGATCCAGCTGGATACTGGATTTAGGGGCGTGGCTACTTTGATTAATCAAGTTTGTTAATATTACCTGAAAATTCCAGTATCATCCAAATATGGTCACTTC